GAACTTTGCGAAGATCTTTGACCCAGGAGGGCCTGCAATGAAATGAAATTGATGTTGCATTCCTGTTAATGTTGATGTTGATGTTGTTTACTGTTTATTATTGTTTGCATTGCGTGTTATTTTTATAGGTAAGTGGAAACCAGCCCAGATCGCAGTTATGCAGCCCTCATCAATGGGGTTCCTGATGGCTGGACCCCATGATTTGGTCTGGTGGGGGGGTGTCATGATCTGGCCTGTGCCAGTACGGCCTAGCCAGCCTAAGTGGTCTGGGTGGCAGTAGGAGGCAGCTAGGCCTACAACTCCCAGAAGGCATTGGGAGAGTCAGAGAGAAGAGTCTAAAGAGACCGTTGGAGTCGGTTGGGAAGACAGTCTGAGAGGAGACTGTGATAGTCTGGTGAGAGAAAGAATCTGAGCTGTTCGCTGAGGGAAAAGGGTGTCTTTCGTCTCTCTCTGCAACCTGATCTCAGTGAGAAGACAGGTTGGTCGGCGAGGAAAGGATCCCTCAGCGTGAGTGTTAGGCAGGCTGGGGGCCTGGAAGTAAAACAGTTAGGAGTAACAGGTAGCTGCGTTAGTTTATGTTTATTTTTCCTTTCACACTGTTATACCCTTTTTAAGCACCTTGCCGTGTCTTGTTTTTCCCTGCCCCACTGTTGTTTTAATAAACCCTTTTTGTGTAATTATTTTCTCTGCCTGGGTCAATCACGCCTGTGTGTTCTCGGCTGAAAAGGGGCATGTTGGATGGGCCTGGGAGGGTACTCTGGGCCTTCTCAGGGGAGCTGAAGTCCAGAGTGGTGGTGTCAAAACCCAAAGACCCCTCTGGGGTCATGACAGCCTGTAAGACGGAGCTCTTCCGCCAGGCTTTCGAATAGGAGCTGCCACCACCACTGTTCCATCAACGCCCTATAATCCGCATACATTGTCATCATTGGTGCGGGTACTACTGGAGGGAGTGGGATGTGCCTAAGGGACAACAGTAGAGATATGCACCGCTGTGAGTAGCTATACCATCAAGAACACCGAGCAACGAAATGTTTTATGAATTTTGCTTAACTATTTAATATTTAATGTAATCTGTACTGTAGTATTTTATACTGTTTTATTGTTTTATCTGGCGTTATGCCTCTGTAAGCTGCTCTGAGCCTGCGGGGAGGGCGGGATAGAAATCCAAATAAATAAATAAATTTAAGAGTGAATATGCATTGTTATCTGTCCAGTATATTCTGAACCAAAGAAAAGGAGAAGGAACTGAAGAGCAGCAGCCTTGCTTTGTCATACATATGCTATTTTGTAGTTTCACTCCCAGAACCTACCTTTTGAAATGAGTTTTGCCCTTAAACAATGTCTAGATTATACCAAGGTTAGGTGTCATTTTATACTTCCAACAGTTAAAGTTCATATTGTCCGTTAATTTCATTGACATTGAAAACATGGCATAACTTGCTACAGTGGGATTCGATTGCATGAGGTCATGCCACGTGGCCTGCATAGTTGTAATAACTTAGAGTGCAGTACTCAGTGATAAGAAAATATATTTAGATGCCCTTCAGTTCATTAGTTATTGGCAAAGGTCACACTTTATATTCAGTTAATTTTATTGAAGTTCATTGTTATAACAGTGACCTGAACTCTGGCTGTGTGGCCTTTAACACATAGAGTATATATACTCTGAAAGAAATTCAATTTTAATTTTAGATAACACATGATTAAGGTTTCCTTTGTTAATTGCAATCTGTCTAGTCCATAGTAAACTCTAGTGATCGAAATGTCTAATGCTGAAAGAAAGTTTTAAACTTTAATCAGAAATGCCTCATCTATAATTGTATATATCCTCTACTATACAAGGTGAGATTTCATTCTCTTCAAATTTATGCCTAGCAAATGGCATATTTTAAGCAATATCTGAGAACATTCAGCGATACCCTTTATGTCCCTGGAGAGTGTAGACACTGATGCATTTGGCTGACATGGCCACCTGGTGTTGAATTTGTACTCTCTAGAGAATTTGTAACATCTGGTACATACAGTGATCTCCTTTTATTCATGTTTCATCTTTTATTGTAATTTTTTGACAAATTGAAAAAGTGAATTAGTAACATAATACGGTATACATTATTAGAGTTATTAATTTAAATCATGCAGAAATCAGATGGACAGAAGTATGAAATCGTTTATGAAATACTATGTTTGATTAGTCAGAAGTCTTGTCTATATGTTTTGACAACACAGTTGACCAGTGTTAACTTGCAGATAATTTAGATCACTGGTAACTTTTAGTTCATTGCAGCCAGGAATGGTTGATCGCATACAACTACGGTATATAAACAGAACTCTTTGCTCCAGGACTTTAATTTTTATGGTCTTTCCCTTGCAATTCTGCTGTGGTACCTCTATCTTTTCTCAGTCTTCTACTTCATTCCTATAATTAACTCTGTTCTGAAGATATTCCTCCAAGAAGTGAATGAATCCAGATGTTTTCTTAAAAATAAAAGGAGGTAAACTGGTTCCTTCCTGCAAGCTCTTCATCATCTTCTACCTTGACCTGTTACTAATTAGTGTGTGTGTTCTTTGGAGCAAGTGCTTTTTAATTTCTCCCTTGTACAGTAATAGGTAAATTCCTGGCAGCTTAATAGTTTCCTTCCCATTCTTTCTTCCATTCTCCTCTGTTGTATTAAAACTGTTATGTTTTCCTTCACTCCTAAAAACTCTTTCCTGGGAGTAAGCCCCACTGAATAGAGTAACCTGTTTAGGATGACACTGTTAATCTTCCAGTTTCTGTATACTTGAAATATTGCAAAACTGAAGCTGATTAGACAGCTTACTTTTAAAAAGTTATTGATGTCTTGTTTGTCTCAGAGATGAGGACAAAAATTGAATCAACAAGAGATAATCAAGAATGGAAAATAATCATCTTGAGGGGCACAGTACACTCGAGTACGGATTGGGGAAGCAAGAGGATTTGGAATGCATGCACTGAAAGAACAAATTTGAGATCTTACATTTCTCAGTTGAATTTATGGTGCGCTTAAAAAATTTTCACTGTGGAATTTTGCCTTGTGACACTGCATATATTATCTCTGGATTTCCCCATCTTTAAAAAGGGAGAAGCAGTAACCAACATAGGGTTAAGAATGCTTGTCCAAGGTTTTTAGATTGAGTCTGAGGAAACAATATATTTTTGTTTCCTTGCCCTGCTGAGTCACCTGAATCTAAGTCCGCTGATTTCCATGGGCTTCCATAGGAGTAACTCTGTATAGTATTTTGCTCTGTAACCCTTGTTGAGTAGTGCTAGTAAACCCTAGCTATGTGTTTTTTTACAAGTATGGTATTGTACTCTTACAACAATTAGTACAGCAGTATCTCATGCTGTGACTTTACTTGTGGTAGACATGACAAAAAGGCTGACCAACACTGTTTTAATATAAATATCAATAATGGTTGAAGTTGGGTTGGAAAGGTCCAGTTTTCCTTTTGAAAATGAGAAAGGAATGGAGACTGCAGTATTGAATTCATTGACATGCTAGCGCTGCTGGCTGATAATATTACATACACATAAAATATGGTTTAAGCACAGTTTTAGTTAATAGCATCATGTACTGATCTAATATAAATTATTTACCAGTTGTAATTCCAATGGTATAAAAATCACAATTTTGTGTGTATGTGAAGCAATCTGTTTATATTTTAATTACCAAAGCTTTTGTTTCTTAAAA